CCCTTTCCTTGTTGAGGATGCTTGGCCACAGATGAGTTTAATTTAGCATATACATTAGGTTTCAAATCACTATGAATGTTTCTGGGTTGGGATGCTTAAAAATAATGACTAATTTGGCCCAGGTTTTGATTTGAGAGGTAGCTAAAATCTGGAGGGATATAGAGCATGGCACTTATAAAGTTTCATGGGAGCAAAGGATGGAAAGAGATTCTAGTATATTGGAGGCAGTCAGGTATCTGAAGGTTCCCTGGTCACATGGGGAAAAGAAGAGGAATGATAGAGACAGAGGAAGATTTCCCCCTATTATAATTTTATATATTATAAGAGGTGTTATCTACCTAATACATCATAAGCTGTGTTCTCCTTCAGAGAGAATTAGACTCCCAAGAATTCTCTCCTGAATTCCTTCCATAAAACTAAAAAGCCCTAATGCCCTCCAGGCTTCTTGATAATCAATGAGTCAGACTCTTAATGAATAAATCTCAGAACCTTTTGGGTTAGGGAAGAAAATCCCAGCAGTTATCAACATGGCTTTAGACTCAATTTTTGGACACCAAAAAGGCTGTAATTTCAATGAGAGGAGAAATACATTGAACAAGTATGATATTCATAAAGCCCCTTATTCTCCCTGGTAGTTGGCTTTCTCTATTTTCTCAAATATTTTACATGAAATACCTCAAGACACAGAATAGAACGTAGCATACACTGTTAAAGCTTTCTTGATACCAGGATAGTTTATGCTCAGCCTTACTGGACCAATCAACACAAGTCACTTGGTCTGTAAGGTGGGGGCAATTTTTATTAATTCATCTACAAAGGAGTCTCTAGAATAGTAGCATGAAGACAAAGACTAACTTGCCATTTGATACAAGATCATGTTATAGAAAGGCCTTTTATTTTTTTGTTATGTTTAGGTTTCTAGGGACACATTTGCCTCCCACTCTAATTCACACCCATATCTTATGGAATAACAAGTTGTGTTTTAATAGGATTATACTGTATGTAAAACACAGCATGTTTAGAAATGAAATATCAGGGAAATTATTTTCATTTCTTACTATTTTGTGGCATTTCATGTGTTCTGTCTGTTATGTAGACACAGAAAGGGAGCTGGTTTTAGTTATCTAATACTGTGCTGTATTTACTACTTCAACTTGCAGATGCTTTTATTTGGATTTTCAAACGTGTAATTTTTAACATATTCTATTAGTGAGGTAGCAATAAAGGAACAATTTTGTAGCTAAGTTAACACTTACAAATTTCCCCGTTTGTGATGTAAAGGAAATGGCGACACCAGACCACATATTTCAAAGAATATTAAATGCAAATGTTCTTTAAAGTACCCTATATTTAAATTTCCCCTATTCCATAAAATATTGTGGATTCATTATTTATACTTTTATAAAAAAATGGTGCCTGATTAAGAACAGATTTGTCATTTGAAAGTATTTATTATTTTTAAATAGCTATATTTGAGAAGTCCTATAAAAGCCAGATCATTATAAATCAACAATTGTAATCAACCTGAAAACTAAATGTTAAACAGATACTGATCAACTTATTTGAAAACATGTTTACACAAAACCTGCACACGAATGTTTATAGCATCTTTAGTCATAATTACAACTGTAAGCAACCAAGATGTCCTTCAACAGGTGAAAGGATAAAAAACCTGTGCTATATTATCATTATTCAGTAATAAAAACAAATAAATTATCAAGCGATAAAAAATACCTGGATGACTCATTTAAAAATATATACATATATTATTTTAGAGAAGAAGGGAGAGGGAGAGAGAAATAGAAACATCAATGATGAGAGAGAATCATGGATCAGCCGCCTCCTGCACACCCCCCTCTGGGGATCAAGCCCACAGCTCAGGCATGTGCCCCACCAGGAATCGAACTGTGACTTCTTGGTTCATAGGTCGATGCTCAACTACTGAGCCACACCAACTTGGCATATGGATGACTCTAAATATATACTGCCAGTCTATACAAGCTACATACTGTGTGGTTCCAATTATGTGGCAGTTTGGAAAAAGTAAAACGATAGGAATGGTAAAAAGGATTAATGGTTACTAGGAGTTTCAGACAAGGGGAGGGCTGAGTAGGTGAAGCACAGGAGATACTTTAAGGCAGTGAGACTATTATGTATCATAATGTCATGGTGGATACCTTCATGGTAGATGCATTTGCCAGAAACCCATATACCTTCACAGCACAAAGACTGAACCTGAATGCATAGAGGTATATTTAAGAGATTGGATATCACAGGATGGAATGCAGAATATGACAAAACAATATAATTATTACAAATGAATGAAACCCTTCAGTGAGGTAGTGGGAAAGGTGCTGACATAAGTAACTTTGGAAATGGAGTCTATAAAACTTAAGTCAGAAAACACTGTACATAAACACTGTACTCTGGTCGGTAAAATTATTTATTGCAGAATATGAGTTAGCAATTCTGATACTGCTCTCCGTGTTTGTATATGGGAATTGAACAACTAAATGACAGATGGTGGGAGACAGGCTTCTTACTGTTGGAGTGGGAGGTTACAGATAAGAAAGGGGAGGAGGCTAGAACATTTCATGTAGTGATGGATTAGCGCTGGAGACAATATAAACTCATGTTTAGCTTGATATAGGTATAAACGGTTACACAGAGAAATAGGGATAGATATGGGTTCGTATATACAGATTAGTATACACATATATCTTTCCTTGCTCTGTCAGCTGAGAGGGCCTAGTAGTTGGGACACAGCAGAAGCAATGAGCCCACTTAGTGCCTCATTAAAGGAGCAATTTTGCAGGCACCAGGGTTCCTTGGAGAAGTGGATGATTCTAGGATTAGAACAGGAAATGTGCAAGATAAGCCTGGAGCATCCTGTAGTGCCAGAAAGTAAGGAAGTGTTTGGGAGGTAAAAAACAAAACACCTGGTGAGAGTGCATGTCAAAAGAACACAGGATTAGTGATGTTGAGCATTTTTTTCATATGTCTCTTGGCCATCTGTATGTCCTCTTTGGAAAAGTACCTATTCCGTTCCTGTGCCCATTTTTTTAAATTGGGTTATTTGTCTTCCTTTTGTTGAGCTGTATGAGTTCTTTATGTATTTTGGAAATTAATCCCTTATCAGATGTGTCCCTGGCAAATATATTCTTCCATATAGTGGGTTCCCTGTTTATTTTGATGATGGTTTCTTTTGCTGTGCAGAAGCTTTTTATTTTGATGTAGTCCCATTTGTTTATTTCTTCCTTTGTTTCTCTTGCCATAGGAGATATATCGGTGAAAATTCTGCTATGTGAGATGTCACTGCCTATGTTTTCTTCTAGGATTTTACGGTTTCGTGACTTATATTTAAGTTCTTTATCTATTTTGAGTTCATTTTTAAAAAATGTATTTTTTATTGATTTCAGAGAGGAAGGGAGAGAGAGCTAGAAACATCAATGATGAGAAAGAATCATTGATCGGCTGCCCCCTGTACACCCCCTACTCAGAATTAAGCCTGCAACCCTGGCCCTTGACCGGAATCGAACACGGGACCCTTCAGTCTGCAGGCTGACGCCCTATACACTGAGTCAAAACATCTAGAGCTTGAGTTCATTCTTGTGTATGGTGCAAGTTGGTGATTTAGTTTCTTTTGTTCCTTTTTCTTTTTTGCATGTACTTGTCCAGTTTTCCCAATACCATTTATTGAAGAGACTGTCTTTACTCCAGTATATGCTCTTGCCTCCTTTGTCAAATATTAATTGACCATAATGATGTGGGTCAATTTCTGGGGTCACTGTTCTGTTCCATTGATCTATATGCCTGTATAGTGTCAATACCAGGCTATTTTGATTACTAGTATAATGGCTTTGTAGTATAGTTTGATATCTGGTATTGTGATTCCTCCAACTTTGTTCTTCTTTCTGAAGATTGTTGCTGCTATTTGGGATTTTTTTTGGTTCCATACACATTTTTGGAATATTTGTTCTAGATCTGTGAGATATCAGATATCACTAATCATCAGAGAGATGCAAATTAAAACAACAATGAGGTATCACCTCACACCAGAATGGCTACCATCAATAAATCAACAAAGGACAAGTGCTGGAGAAGATGTAGAGAACAGGGAACATTAGTACACTGCTGGTGGGAATGCAGATTGGTGCAGCCTCTTTGGAAAACAGTATGGAATTTACTGAAAAAATTTAAAATGTAACTACCATTTGACCCACAATCCCACTTTTAAGAATATATCCTAAGAAGCTCGAAACACCAAGCAGAAAGAATATATGCACCCCTATGTTCATAGCAGCATTATTTACAATAGCTAAGATCTGGACACAGCCCAAGTGCTCATCAGTAGATAAGTGGATAAAAAAGCCATGGTACATTTACACAATGGAATACTATGCAGCTATATCAAAGAAGGATTTCTTACCCTTCGCAATAGCATGGATGGACCTGGAGAGTATTATGCTGAGTGAAATAAGCCAGTCAGAGAAAGATAAATATCACATGATCTCACTTTATAAGTGAAATGTAATGAACATAATAAACTGATGAACAAAATAGGTCCGGAGGCATGGAGACATGGAACAGAAGGGAAATGGGAAGAGATTAACCAAAGAACTCGTATACATAAATGCATAACCAATGGACACAGATAATAGTGCGGTGAAGGCCTGGGGTGCAGCAGGGGATGGGAGGAGGAGGGTAAAGGGAGGAAATAGGGGACACCTATAATACAGTCAACAATAAAATAAAATTTTAAAAAAACAGGTGACAACGAAAGGGCTCTCAATGGCTAAAGATGGAACAATTTGAGCAACAAAAAATTTTTTTAATTATATTGAATTATAATCCAAAGTATAAAATAAATATCCATGTGTTCATACTGATCTAAATAAATGAGGGGAAACAGACAAATCTCACATGCAGAAGAGTTTTTAAAAATGTATGTAGATATCTGCCCTCAAGGAGTGGACCATAACCCTTCCTCCACCCCTTAGGTGTGAGCGGGGCACAAAGACTTCTTTTCACAAAGTGCAGTCAGAAAGGGAAAGAAAAAGAGCCACTTTCTAGTGGAGAAGCCTGCCAAACACTGCCTCAGCCAGGTGAGCAAGGTTCCCCTTGTCATTGGTAAGTTATGTTCACTGTGTGCTCCCTTGATATGCTATGATGAAAATAGCACTTCAACTATGGGGTATTTCCCCCAAAAAAACACATAATCCAAGTTTAATAATAAGATAAATATCAGACAAATTTCAATTGATGGACCATCTATAAAACACCTAACTAGCACTCTTTAGAACTTGTTAAGGTCATCAAAATCAAAGAAAGAGTAAGAAGAAACTGTCACAGTCTATAGAAGCCTAAGAAGACATAACAAGTAAATGTAAGGTGGTGTCCTGGAGGGAATCCTTGAACAGAAAGAAAAGGACACTCATTTCTTTTTTAAAAAAATATATATTTTTTATTGATTTCAGAGAGGAAGGGAGAGGGAGGGAGAGATAGAAACATCAATGATGAGAGAGAATCATTGATCGGCTGCCTCTTGCATGCCCACTACTGGGGATCGAGCCTGCAACCCGGGCATGTGCCCTTGACTGGAATCGAACCCAGGACCCTTCAGTCTGCAGGCCGAGGCTCTATCCACTGAGCCAAACCAGCTAGGTGACACTCATATCTTTTTAAAAATATATATATTTTTATTGATTTCAGGGAAGAAGGAAGAGGGAAAGAGAGAAACATCAATGATGAGAGAGAATCACTTATCAGCTGCCTCCTGCACGCCCCCCACTGGGGATTGAGCCCACAACCTGGGCATATGCCCTTGACCGGAATTGAACTGTGACCTCCTGGTTCATAGGTCAATGCTCAACCACTGAGCCACGCTGGCCAGGCAAGGACAACTCAATTCTTTTTTTAAAAATATATTTTATTGATTTTTTACAGAGAGGAAGGGAGAGGGATAGAGAGTTAGAAACATCAATGAGAGAGAAACATCGACCAGCTGCCTCCTGCACACACCCCACTGGGGATGTGCCCACAACCAAGGTACATGCCCTTGGCCAGAATTGAACCTGGGACCCTTCAGTCCACAGGCTGATGCTCTATCCACTGAGCCAAACCGGCTAGGGTGACAACTCAATTCTTAATAAAAATTAAGAAAATTAATAAATCATGGACTTTAGTTAACAATGTATCAATATTGATTCATTAATTATAACAAATGTACCACATTAATGTAAGATACGAATAAAAATCAACTGCTTGTACTGTTAGCAATTTTTTCCCATAGTTCTAAAACTATTCTAAAATTTTAAACTCTATTTAAAAATGATATTGAGAATCATACACTCTTAGAAAGTTGAAAATGGAAGGGACTATAAAAATCATCAATTAAGCCCTTTACTAACAAGAGAGAAGACTGAGGATTTATAAAAGGATTTAATAGCCTGCACTTCAGAGATGGCCTAGAGAAAACAGTGGTGTCTACTTGCTGAACTACATCCTTAGTGACACTACACATCAATCATAGTACACAGTAGACCCTCAATAAGTAACTACTGAAAGGTGAATAATTCCCCCAAACCTAATCTCTATGCAAGTATTTCATCCATTGCTCACTTATTTATTGACTCATTCATTCATTTAATAAGTATTTACTGAATGTCTGGCACTACGATTTTACTTCTAGAATAATAATCACTTAGAAATTCTACTCAAATGACTGACATTTTGGCAATTTTCCACATCTGACTTTGTAGAAAACTCCCTTTAGCTGATTCAAGTTTATGTGTCCAAGGAAGACTTTGAAAAATTACCTCATAAAACAATGTTGTTTGCATTAAATAACCCAACACTTCTAAAGTGTTTAGCACACTTGGCAATGACATTATTATTAGTTGTATCAATACTGTTATTGTTATCATTACCAACCAACCAGATGCTTGTACCTGTGAAAAAACTTTGGGAAGCGTAGGACAAGAACTCGGGATCTGCAAACGATCACACGCTGGCACACTTAATAGCTCTTTTGATCTTTCTGGGTTTGATAAGTTGGTCCTTTCCAACAAACCACAAAATTATTGTTGGGATCTGGGCTATGATTCCATTTACTGTTAGTCCAATGTCCCTTTTAAATTTCCAGGAAACTAATGGGGTTATATTCAAGTTTCTTTCCTTCTTCATGCATTCCACTCCTGAGGTTCATTTTACTGGCTTTATTTCTATTGTATTTAAAGATCATATTCTTCAGGGTGCTCACAACCTCTATGTAGAAATGCGGTGAAAAAGCCCAGCACTCCCAGTGGACATCACACTCTCTATGCTCAAGTAAAAGGGGTCTTGTGTTTACTGTTCTGACTAACAGTTTCTGAGCAAGAAGACTCCCCCTCTAATCATCATTATAGCCACGGCTGCCTGTCTGAAATCCAGCAGTTCCCAAGTACATCAGACCTTCAAAACTGCATTCCACTATGAATGCCTCTGGAAGATAGTTCTCATCCAGTAGTTGTCATGACATCAGCTCAACATCTGACACAACAGCTCCTGGGGGATTCAGCTCTTTCCCCCAGGGCCTCACTTGAGACTCCTCAATGGAGTCGTTTTCCTTCAGTTTCACTTTGGTGGCAGGAAGCTAAGTTTGGGTAGCAGAGATTATCTTGTTCCACCCAGTTGCAAAACGCATTCTCAGCACAAATGTTCCAAGTTCAGAGAAAATCTTAAGGAAAACTTTAAATAGTTTTAATAAAAAAGAATACTCTTTTACTGAGTTCAAAAATAATTAAGTGAATAAAACAGGTTAATTGTTTCTTTTTAACTTAAAGGAATTTTAAAAGGTAATTTCGTCTGTAGCTCATAAGTATTCCAACAAACATGCTGTGAATTAAGTTTCCATTAGCCTTGTTATTAGAAACTCCTTTTGTCAAGGATGCTCCCATAAAACGGGTCCTACCTCTCTCCTGGGAAGAACCCTGGAGGTTGGAACCTGCTGCTGCTTCTCCCAGCACTGCCACTCCCGGCGACTCCTGCAGGATTGAAGCCTGAGGGAAATGAGAGAAAGGGGTCAATTCCGGAACACAGGAGCCGCGGACTCTAAATCAGGTCATATGCATGAGCTCCCAGGTGGAAATCAGGGGAAGAATTTATGTGTTCCCATTTTTTTTTTCCACAAGCTTAAGGTGTAGGATGTCTACAATTATTTAGATGCAAAATATCTTTTGAGACTTCATCTGATTAGGAGGATTTTAATGTTGTTATTGTTTGTTTGCTTTTCAGGAAATGCTAATCAGCTCGCTTTTCGAATGTAATACCAGCACTTCTATTTTTTTAATACCAGTACTTTTAACATAATTGCTTAAGTTCTAGATCAAATTGCTTAAGCTCTGTCACCGATTTGTGGGGATTTCCCATTTGTAACAAACCTGATTAGACTTGATATGATAAAATATACTTATATAAATAAAACATGCACACAGAGAGAGAGAGAGAGACTGTCGTATAAAAATATAGCAGGACATGTTTTCTAGAAATCTGGACAGTATGTCTGGATGGCCTTACCTATCTCATATAAAAGGTTTACTTCGGGAGGCTATCTCAAAGAGACAGATGGTCTCCAGAGCAACATAAATCAGGGTCCAACAAAAGGTCTGAGTAATAGGCAATCAGGAGAGAAAACAAAAGAAAAATGCTGAACTTTCTACATACAAGAAAACAAACAGTGGTTGCAAATTGGAGCCCTACGTTGAAAGTCACAAGGGCAGCCTCTGCAATCGCAGGTCTTGGTTTGCAATCAATTGCTTCTCAAATGGGCAGCTGCATGTAATAGACATCAGGATGAATAGCAGCACTTAAAACATTTTTTAAAATATGTTTTCATTGATTTTTATTTTGTTAACCATTAAAAAAAATTTTTTCTTTATTGATTAAGGTATTACATATGTGACCTTATTCCTTATTGCCCCCTCACCCACCCACTCATGTCCTCACCCCCTGGTGTCTGTGTCCATTGGTTAGGCTTATATGCATGCATACAAGTCCTTTGGTTGATTAGAGAGAAAGAAAGGGAGAGGGAGAGAGAGATAAAACACTGAAGGGAGAGAAATATCTACTGGGGATCGAGCCTGCAACCCAGGCATGTGCCCTAACAAAAATTGAACCTATGACCTCTTGGTGCATGGGATTATGCTCAACCAACTGAGCCACACCAGCCGGGCAGCAGCAGGCATTTGAAAATTTAATAATGTTGCCCTAGCTGGTTTGGCTCAGTGGATAGAGCGTCGGCCTGCAGACTGAAAGGTCCCGGGTTCAATTCTGGTCAAGGACACATGCCTGGGTTGCAGGCTCAATCCCCAGTAGGGGACGTGCAGAAGGCAGCTGATCAATGATTCTCTCTCATCATTGATGTTTCTATCTCTGTCTCCCTCTCCCTTCCTCTCTGAAATGAATAAAAATATATTTTAAAAAATTTAATAATGTTCAACAATTCTCCCTTGAAATGATGGGAAGCCCAATTAGCAATAAGTAAATGTTTCACTTAGCATAATGCTCTCCAGTTCCATCCATGCTGTTGCAAATGGTAAGAGTTCCTTCTTTTTTACAGCAGCATAATATTCCATCGTGTAGATGTACCACAGTTTTCTAATCCATTCATCTACTGATGGGCACTTAGGCTGTTTCCAGATCTTAGCTATGGTGAATTGTGCTGCTATGAACATATGGGTGCACATATCCTTTCTGATTGTGAAACAAGCCAGTCAATGAAGGAAAAATACCACATGATCTCACTCATTCATGGATAATAAAGACCATTACAAACTTTTGAACAATAATAGATACAGAGGCAGAGCTGCCTCAAACTGATTGTCAAACTGCAGTGGGAAGGCCAGGGAGGGTTGGGGGGCAGGAGGGAGGGGAGTAAGAGATCAACCGAAGGACTTGTATGCATGCATATAAGCATAACTAATGGACATAAGACACTGGAGGGTAAGGGAGGGCAGGGGATTGTCAAGGGCGGGGGGGAAAAAGGGACACTTATGTAACACCCTTTGTAATACTTTTAGCAAAAAAAAAAAAAAATTAATTAAAAAAAAAAAGAAAATAGCCTGTCATGTTATCAGAAACAAGAAAAAAAAAAAAAAGTAAATGTTTGACAGGCAGCAGGGACTAGGAAACCAAGATCCAAATGTGCTTTTTAGGGGCAATTTTTTTCTAAGTGACTAGGAACATGATCCAGAGGCAGTAGGTAGTTACTAAAGAGGTCTAGGGTACCACATGAAGCAGGCATGCAAGAAACACAATGCCAGGTATATTATTGTATGGATTGGAATATTGCTGAATATAAAAATGAACCCAGCCCTGGTCGGTGGCTCAGTGGTTAGCGTGTCGGCCCTCAGACCTAAGGGTGTTAATTGCATAACTCGATTAGTTATTTAGTTGACATTTAGCTGACCAGTTAATTCTAACATTCTAACCCATACTTTCTTTCTGTGCTCCATGCACATTTAACAAACTGCCTACTAAACATTCCCAATTCCATCTAGGGCTCTATAAATCCAACATTCATTCACTAACTCATTTCTCTCTCCCACACCTGCTCCATCCCAAACTGCTCTTTTTGCATTTTTTTCCTCAAAGGTGAAGAACAGCATTGTTCACCCAAGGGTCCAAACTTTTGAAATTTAATAAAGTCTCCTATCCTTCTCTCAGCTACCTTTGCCCTAAACATGAAAACCTAATTGGTCACCAGATCTTTTCAGTGGTGCTTCCTCTCTTCTCTCCTGTGTTACCGCGGGAGTTCCTCTTCTCCCGTTTCTAGTCTCTTTCCTCCCACACCATAATTCTTTCATTCTGCAGTCAGGGGTTCGACCTTTTAAATATGTTTCATCATCTTTCCATTTACCTTGAGGATAAAATCCAAAACTTTTAGCACAGTGTATGAGGTACTTCATCAACTTGTCTCTATCCCTCTAATCTTATCTCCCCCCATCGCTAGTTCCAGGACACAAAATTACCTGTGATCCCCAAACTTGTTACCCAATCCTTCACCTTCATGCTTTTGTTAACACAACCTAGAATGACCTTTTCTCCATTTTCTGTCTAGACAATCCCTGTTCTATTATAATATTTCCAACTCCAGCCACACTATTCCAAATTGAATTTTTTAAAAACCCAGCAACTGAAGGATAGTTAACAGATGCTACGATTCCAGTACACTTTGCTCAACACAGAGTGAAATTCCTTTTGTGCCTTTATTTCTGAGACACAGAATAGATTTCTTTGTGAGTCAGTGTACTTTTTGCTTTCCATTGGCTGGTAATGAGATTTGGAGTATACTTTCAACCAAAATGTTAGAACAAGGGATCTAGATGGTGAAGAAAACTTGGTGACAAAACACAAAGAAACCAGGAGAGAGGAAGAGGTGCTCAGCTGTTTTCCTAAATCGTATTAGCCATTTCTCCATCTCCTTCTCCCCCTCCTCCCCTCTCTCCCTAGCTCTCTGTCCCTGTCTCCCTGTCTCAGTGTCTCTCTGTCTGCGTCTCACACACACATATGTGCCTGTATACACACACTTTCCTTCAGGTAAAAAAAAAAAAATCCCTCTCTGTGTTCTTTATAAATCCCTCAGGTTTAATATTTTATTGCTCCAAGTCTGCCTCCCTGAGGTTCTTGTATAGACTCGTTATTTCCCTCAGTAAAGGAGCTGTTTAGTTCATCTTCGCCTGGTGTGTAAGAACCCAGGGGAGGCCGTTCCTGCAGCCCAGTCTTCCACTCCCCTCCCCGAGAGCCTTGGCTGGAGCCGCGAGTCTGTCAATCCCGGGCGGGAGACAAGGCAGACAAAGGTTCATTTGTGAAGCACCTCCTTCCAGCACCTCCTCTCTTCTCCTTCTGCCCAAACTCACCCAGCGAGTTGGAGCATTTTAAAAGAGTCCTCTGACAAGAAGACCAAAAGGAAAGAAGAAAAGGGTATGTAACTTTTTTTTGCCTAAAAACCATTTTATGTCATTTATTCTTCTCCACACTACTGCTATAGATTAGAGCAGAGATGTATTTATGCGAAGAGAAAGGTAGACAGGCAGAAAGAGACCCTCGAAAGAGATGATGTATGTACTTTGAAAAATAAATGCTTCTTAGTGTAAAGGGAAAACAAGTCAGGTTAAGAGAATAGATACTGGGAAAGTCACTTAATCATGAGGGTTGGAAGAGGCAGCTTCCTCTATGTTATTTCTTATGAATACTCAGGTCCACTCTGACTCTGGTCCACACAACAGGACCTTATTCCACGTCTCAGAACGATGTGAGGATGATGAAGGATATACTTTTTTAAATGCAGTAACTATATCTGTATATTTTACCTACCCAATATGAACTGCAAGGTCTAAGAAAACAAATGTCTCTTGCTTTTTAAAAATCCTGATTCCTGAAAAGAGACTGGTACACATGTGTGAACAAAGAGGGAATTCATTGCATTCATCCTTGGTGTCTCCATCATGGAGCACAACAAGGTGTCTGTACTGCTCAGATAAAGGGAACCCTTCTTCCCTTTGGGGGCTTATAAAAATTTCCCTTTAACATTCCTTAACTTAGGTATACAGTCTATGAAAAGCTCTCCCAAATGCTGGTCCTTTTCTCCATGCTGATGATCTACTGTGGCCAGGAGAACATTTAGAATGATGCAAGACTGAATAGTAGTATCGTCTTCCAGCATTCTCTCAGCATCCTGAAGGCAGGTCACCTTCAGGGAGGATATGGACTTCGTTTGTCCACTGATGAATGTCTTTTGGGTATTTGGGATGATCATGTCTGTTTTAATGATGTTTGAAAGGCTTCTCCACTTTCTAATACCACTTTGATTCCTTCAACATACCCTTGGAGAAGTTTCACTCGAGGACTCAGTCATTCTAACACAAACCTCTTGTATCACAGTTAATAAGAAAGAGAACGAATTTTTCAAATAACAGTGATTTTCATCCTCCAAGAAAGAGGATGGAAAACATGACAGACTGGACAGCAATTTTAATCTCTTCCAGCTATAATTTTAAATGTCAGGTTCTGGGCTGTACTTTTCATTTGCTTTAGCAGCTTTTGCTTCTCTTTTGCTGTGTTTTGAAAGAAATCTGAAAATGGACTGCCCTTTCTGTCTAATTCATCAACTCTGTCGCATTCCACTTTTTAAAATAGCAGTTCCCAGAACTGACATCAGCTGCCTATATGAGCATTGCACCATAAATGTCTCAACACTTAAACTACATAGCCCTGTTAGTTTTGGCCATTACATGGGATAATTTTTCTTTCTAAGTCTCCATTTAACTCCAACCATTCAAAAAGCTTGCTAGTGCCAAATATCCTTTACACGATCAAGATTTGCCATTCCCTACCTATATGGTGGTGGCGATGATTTATTGCTTAGTTGAAAACATTTTGCCTTTAATTCTGTATGCTCTGCATTGATATCTTTTAAATATTATGCCATTAGCCCTGGCCAGTGTTTCTCGAGTGTCAGTCTGTGCACTGAAGCACTGAAGGGTTGTGGGTTGGATTCCTGATCAAGAGCACGTAGCTGGATTGCAGGTTCAATCTCTGGTCCCATGCAGGAGGCAACTAATTCTCTCTCTCTCTCTCTCTCTCTCTCTCTCTCTCCCTCCCTCTCCCTTGTCCCCTTCCACTGTCTCAAAAAACACACACAAAAACAACAAAAAACTAATAGAAAAATATCCTCAGGTGAGGATTAACTATATATATATCTCAAGTGGAACAATGGCAATATATAAGACATATATATTCCCGTTAATATCATGCCAATCTATTAAATATTGGGATATGAATGGTACCATACATAAGGAACAATATTAATTACATAAAATTGAGTCCAAAAATCCAATAGATAACTAATTGAGGGTCTCTTGCTTATTCCTTCAGATATTCAGCTTTTAGCTTTGTTTTCTTTTATAATTTGGATGTACTCCAGTAGGAATTTTATGTGCATGTACTTCAACTGAAAGAGAAAAAAAATAGAGCAGTTTGCTTCAAACTTGCCAAAGTCATTTCATCTTGTTGGAACTTGAAAATATATGGTCTTGATGGATTGCCAAGGACTAAGGTTGGTGTCTTCTAATGAAAAAACCAACCAATGTATCACAGGAACATTCAGACATTGTTCCACTGACTAAATAAGAGTTAAAGCTATTTATTGGCACTTAAGTAAAAGAAGAAGAGAAGATGTCAGTTCAAACATGTAATTTCTAAAGTGTTAAAAAAAAAACTACCAATAAGTGCTTGCCAGATGTGGAACTTTCCATCTTAGTATGTGACTGAGACTGTGACAGAAACACTATTTTATGCTCTGGCATGAACAGTCAGAAGAGGTGTGTGGTATGGCAGCATACAGACTTACTTTTCCTGCAATTTATTTTTCACTCCAGTGAATGTTTTTTGAATACTTACTGTGAGCCCAGCGTTGAACAGGCGCTCTGAGAGAAGAGGCAAAAAAAAAAAAAAAAAAGAAGCTACAGTCCTTGCCTTTATGATGCTGGCATCTTCTCTTCCAGTCCTCTGAGTGTTGGCTCACCCTTAGTCAGTTCTTTGCCTCTTCTCTTCTGAATCTATACTCATTACCCTGCCAGTCCCATAGCTATAAATGCTATCAATAAATATCCTGATGACTCTCAAATTTGTATTTCCAGCCCTGACCTTCAGACTCATATTCAGCTGCCTACTCAACATCTTTACTTGGATGTGTAGTAGACATCTCAAACTTAACTTGCCCAAAAATTTACTCTTGCATTCCCCCCAAACTGACTCCATTCAATTCTTTCTCAGCTCAATAAATGTCAGTAGCATTCGGGTAAAAAATGTAAGCGTTAGTCTTGATTCTTTCCCTCTTGTGTCATATCGTCCATCTACTTTTGCCTCTTTTCTTCTACTTCCAATTTTGTCCCACCATAACACACCTTCAAAGAGCTAAAAGAAACTTTAAAAACAAAGGCATAAATAAGATCATATTACTATTCAATAAAAATCTTCCAATAGTTTCTCAATCTATATATATATAAGCCTAATATGCTAAGTGTCTGGCCATTTGACCATTTGACCAGTCACTATGATGCACACTGACCACCAGGGAGGAGATGCTTTGACTGGTAGGTTAGCTTGCTGCTGGGGTCCAACTGATCAGGACTGGGCGAGATGGGTCGGACATGCCCTGGAGCCCTCCACGATCCCTCCCCGGCCCCCATCGTGCACCGGTGGGGTCCCTCGGCCTGGCCTGCACCCTCTCACAATTCGGGATCCCTTGGGGGTTGTCGGAGAGCCAGTTTCGGCCTGATCCCCGCAGTCCTGTAAAATCAATAAAATCTAAAGATCTTATCATGTCCTATAAGGCCCTTTATGATCTTTCCAAATCTTCCTTCCTGGTTCTAGGTAAATCCATAAAATGACCAATTCAGTAAGGTCAAATGGCTTTCTGTGAATTTCCTACTCCCATACTTTAGTCTATATGGTTCACTGGCTTATGAAAAATGCTGACGATGACAAGGCATTATTTAGTCAAATTCACAGTTCTTGTAGTACAGATTGTATACATATAGAGCTATGGAAATAGAGAGCAAGGGAACTGTTAGAATGATATGGGCTGTATCAGAAAGGTTTCTTAGGAAAGATGAGTTTGAGGTTTGTCCTTAATGGATGGTTTGATCAGAAATTAATGTAAAGGGAAGAAGTTAGAGGGGGCAACAAGGCAAAGACACATGTGTAGGATTGAAGAGGTGTCAGGTCCGACTGCCTACTAACTGCAATAACGAATGATTTGTGTGGAGGAGAAGTGGAAGGAAGACCAGAGGATTAGTCCTAAGAAGTTCACAGTCTTTTAGATAACATGAAACTTCTATAGGCTCTTGCTCAAGATTAAAAATATGTTTCAGCCCTAGCCAGTTTGGCTCAGTGGATAGAGCATTAGACTATGGACTGAAGGATCCTGGGTTTGATTCTGGTCAAGGGCATATACCTTGGTTGCAGGCTCAATCCCCGGTAGGGTTGGGGTGCGTTCGGGAGGCAACCAATTGATGTGTTTCTCTCACATTGATGTTTCTCTCTGTGTGTCTCTCCCCCTCCCTTCCACTCTCTCTAAAAATTAATGGGAAAATATCCTCAGGTGAGGATTAACAACAATAACAAAAAAGTGTGTTTTCAGAGAAGCACTAGAAAAATGGGCCAAGCATTGTATTAGCCATTGGGTATGTAGTGATAAAAAATAGACTGCCCTAGTAAAGCTTTCCATCCTAGAAAATTGTCAGTTTTATCACATTAAAAAGAAATTTTTCTGCCTGGTCAGTGTGGCTCAATGGTTGAGTCAACCTATGAACCAGGAGGTCACAGCTCGATTCCTGGTCAGGACCCTCGATTCCAGTCAGGGGCGTGCAGGAGGCAGCCAATCAATGATTCTTTCTGATCATTGATGTTTATATCTCTCTCTTTCCCTCTCCTTTCCTCTCTGAAATTAATAGAAATATTTTAAAAGCAATTTTTCTCTACTGAATATAAAAAAAATTACTTGGAGTACTTAAAATGCAAATTTTGGGTCTTACCACCACCTCTTCCCCTCATCCAGCATTTCTTAGTCAGTATTTCTTTGTGGAACTGAGGCATTTAATTCTTAACAAATATTCTAAGTGATTTTTATTGTAGATGGTCTTTAAACTACACTTTGAGAGCCACAGAGAGGAGAAAAGATCAACTCTTTCTACCCAGGAGTGTATAAGAAGTTTACATTCAGACAAATTCCATCTTTAAAAACAAACTAACACTAACAAATTTTGGTTTTTCTTCTATCTCAGGGCCAAAAGCCAAAATGAAATTTATAGTACTTGTCACCATTGGGCTAACTTTGCTGCTAGGAGTCCAAGCCATGCCTGCAAATCGCCTCTCTTGCTACAGAAAGATACTAAAAGATCGCAACTGTCACAGCCTTCCAGAAGGGGTAGCTGACCTGACAAAGATTGACGTGAACGTCCAGGATCACTTCTGGGATGGAAAGGGATGTGAGATGATCTGTTACTGCAACTTCAGCGAATTGCTCTGCTGCCCAAAGTAAGGAAATGTAATCACAAAATATATTGCTATGAAACGTATGGATGACGATTCCTTTTGGACACCTTTATAATGAATTTGCTGAAAATAATCACCCTTTTTAGTAAAATCCTGTTCAAATCTCAGCTATTTGCTAGAATCATCACCATTGCGTATAGAACTAAATGTTTTCATTTAAGAAACAGAACTTGGCAGATTTTAATAGAACTAAATGAAATCCAGAAAATTAATAACACTCCAATCTATTAAAATCTAAATCCCCTATCAGATTTTTACCACAAAAAAATCTACCAGCAGCAGTGGTCAGCTTCAAGGTTGATATTTTAAACCAATTTGAAAACTAATAAAAGGCTTTAGATAAAAAGCTCCCACCCCACCCGGCCCACCTCTCAGCTCCCACCCGGCCCACTCAGCTCGCAGGCTCACTGTGGGTGCTATGGTTAAATACTCGTGGGTTGATTGATTACTCGCGGGGTGTGATTAAGTAATTAAGCTGAGGAGCCACTCCGAGCCGCCAGGTGCCATCCTTGAGGTTTTCGCAGAACCAGCTGGGCCAGAGCCTCCCCTCCTCCCCAAGGATGAAACTGGCAGCCTGGGCTCCTGCAGGCCCCCCACGGCCAGGCTCCTCCCCCCGACCTCTGTGCCGCCAGGCTGCTGTGGCTTCCATGACCCGGGCACTGCAGTGGCCCTGCCTTGCCTGAGCTCAATCCCTGTTGGCTGTGATGCCCTTGCCCCATTTTGCTTCCATTAAAAATGTCTGTGTATTTCCAGAAAAAAAAAAAAAGATGTCAGCAAACAGGATCAAGTAATTAACTGCATCGAAAAGTTTGGTAATGGTCAAAGAAAAAATTTCCAGCTCTGTGTATGAGTTAACCAGAAATAAACTAAGTAAAGTTTCCCGCTGACTTGGAAAGCAGATGTATTAAGTATAATATAATAGTAGATAAGTCAATAAATATTTCCAACTCTTGATTTTAAACCCTTGCTTACTGAGAAATCTTTCAACCACTATGATCTTGGCTATTTCATACCTAAATTGGCTTTTTCAAATTACTTTTAGCATGTCATCATATTTTCATTTTTCCAAGAAACCTGTAAGGCAGAAGAGGCAGATATAACCATCTGATCAAGGAAAAGGTACAGCGAGATAAAATGACCAGCACCATCCTATGTGACTAGTTAATATCAGCACTGGCACTAGGACTCAGGTCTTCTGATTTGGACCAGATATTTTTCATTTTTTTCTACCAAGCCAGTTGGTTCTTAATGTGTGGTTCTCAGAACAGCAGCTTCAATATCACCTGTGTTCTTGTTCAAAGTGCATATCCAGCCTGGCTGGTGTGGCCCAGTGGTTGAGCATCAACTTATGAACCAGGAGGTCACGGTTTGATTCCCAGTCAGGGCATGAGCCCAGGTTGCAGGCTAAATCCCCAGTAGGGAGTATGCAGGAGGCAGCCAATCAATGATTTTCTCTCATCATTGATGTTTCTATCCTTTTCTCCCTCTCCCTTCCTATCTGAAATCAATAAAAATGCACTAAAAAAAAGAAAAAAGAGGAACATTCATTTTTAAAAAAAGTGCATAAACATTCTTGGGCCCCAGATCAGACCTACTATATCAGGAACACTGGAGGTGAGGCATAGCAATTACGGTTTAACACGCTTCCTGGGTGATTCTGATGTATGATGAAGTTTCAGAATCACTGTATTCAATGATGATATCAAGGACTTGAGTTAACTGATTCCACAAAATAATTTAATTTTTCCCAGACCATGTAAATGAAATATCATCTACCAGTAATATTAAAATACCATCTTTGCTTTTTTTGTAATTGTAAGACTTGAATCCAATTTACAGAAATGTGTTTGTATTTATTTCATGATATAATTTTGTGTTAATGGATAAGAATAGAAGTATAGATATACAAAAGTAATTTCTATCTGATACTGGATTATCCTTTTCCTAGTGGCAACAAACTTACCTTGCTAAGTATATTTCCTTTTCCCCACCCTGTAATCACAGTTTAATTTGTCATCCTATTTTTTTCACTTTTTATTGAGATATAATTGACATACAGCACTTTTTAAGTTTAAGGTATATGGCAAATGAGTCAACCAATACATATTAAAAAATGACTACCATAATAATTTAGTTACAGTTAACATCTATTACCTCATATAGTTACCCCCCAAATTTATTTTTCCTTGTAATGAAAACTTTCAGATTTACTCTCTTAGCAAATTTCAAATATACTCTACAGCAGTGCTAACAATAGTTATCATATTGTACATTATATACTAAGTATATTTCTAATAAACCATAATCATACTACCTTACACTTATATAGAATTTTATATTATTCCATGCATTTTTATACATTAGCTTATATGATCTTCCCAACAAGAGTAGAGTAGCTTAACACTTCTCCTTTCCCTATAATAGCTAGAAATTTATTTATTGACTTTCTAGGAAAATTTGAATGTGTTTTACCTGTAGATTTAAAGTTCATGGTCCATCCCACTCATAGCAGAGGAATGAATGTTTTTGGCATGATTATAAGGTTTTGAAATCACCTAATCTTTCCCTTTTTTTTTGGTAAAGAAATGATAGCATATTATCAATGGAAAATGGAGGGAAAGTAAAAGAATTAATTACCTTCTTGGTCTTTGTTACTCCTGTGGCAAGTCCTCCCACTCATTCTTTTTCTACTTTATTCACCTAAAACGAATAATCATATCTGAAATCCTGCAAATCACTGTTCATTTTTAACCCAGAAAACTAATATATACCTTAGCTTATATAGCTAGATTTAACTTTTTTTTTTTCTTCCAGAGATGTCTTCTTTGGACCAAAGATCTCCTTTGTGATTCCTTGCAACAGTCACTGAGAATCTTCAAGTATTCCAGAGAGCACCATCGCTAATTTCCAAGAAACTGCATTTCTACTTTCTCTCCATGCAATAAAGCACAGATTTTATAAATTCTCACTTGTCTAAGACAAGTAAACTTGTGTCAAATAAGTAGTAATAAAAATTAATTCAATTTAATGTTTCTCTGTAGACTTTGTTGGCACTGGTTAAAAATATTGGCTAGAAACTTTTCATCTATGAGGTGTTAACTATGTTCAATAAAAGAATTTTGTTCTGCAGATGAACAGACACAATGCTGGCTCAAAGAATGGGAAAGGAAGCCAGTACTTGAGTATATATTATGCAGGCCAACTATTTTAAGTACAATTTCATTTTATTCTCTGAAAAACAGCCACAACAAAAACCTTCAAGATAAGCATTCTGAAACCTATTTTTCAAATGCTGACTTAAGTATAAGATATTTGCTAAAAATCAAGGCAAGAATTTGAACAAGTCCCTAATTCCAAAGCCCATACACTATACACACTCACACACAACAGCTGTATTCTTAAAACTATGATGCATATGTCCAATGTATCAATTTTTCCTGAAAACAGCTCATATTAAAAAATCATACATAACGGATGAGAATTAAAAAGTCAAATGAGTTTTAAAAGGAAATAAAACAGATGCCTTCAAAAATATTTTCCAATTGTCAGAGACAGTTTTGGACTATGCCCTCATATCTTAGGAGGTATGCATTGACTAGTGGCCATTAGTGATGATTTCAGAAAGTTCTTCGTGCAACAAAAATTGATTAAATGCTTGCTAAGGGTCAGCTATTATTAAGATTTGGGCACATAGTAATGAATAAGATGGATTGCCTCTTGGAAATTGTATAACAAAAGTGTAATAATTATATACAAAATTTTTATAAATGTGAAGCCTGCTACAGAGGAGAGGTATAGGATGCGATACAAAGTATTGTGGGAGGAAAGTTCAAGAAGCACATTACCTGTAGTAAACTTAGATATTTTGTGAATAAAATTTACATTATGTAATGGAAATAGATCCTTGGAGGTCCCTAATCTGTTTATGAAGACCACTCCCAGGACAGTATCAGGCATCTATTCAATATTCAATAAGTGTTACTGTGCTGGACCAAACAATTTTGAGGTACTCAGAATTCAGTTCCCCTTAAATTTGCACAAACATAAGTTAAAACCTGTTTTCAAATAGTATTGCCTCTTACAAAAATGCATGAAGTGGAATTGTTTTTAAAAATCAAATTTCTTATCAGTATACCATGATTCAGCTTTCTTCCTTCACTGAAGTGACTGGTATTAAAATTGGAGTAACTCAATAATGAATGTCTTATGTCCTTTCTGGAACAGTGCATAGAATAGGTAAATAAATAAAATCAGCAGTAAGCCATTTAATTTTCTACTTGGTATAAATTCCGTTTAAGAGAGAAAAAAAATGTGGTAAAGTGCCGGAAGCCGGTCCATCCTTGCTGCTTGACACAGTTGCTGCAGGAAAGAAACATCTGCACAGCATATGTTTCAAGGGACCTGGCATATATAGCATATTGTTCTTAATATGTTTGCTCTCCTTAGTGCCATGTGTTTTAACCAAGGTCACCTCTCCGAGAAAGGTTGTTTCCCCAGGTGGGGATTTTTCCCTGAGGTTAGGGAGGGGATACAACCCCTTAATTAAGTGCCAGGCGGGTAGTTAAGCTACATAATCTTTACTCCCTGGAATGGAGATAAGAAACGCCCTAACCTTTGTAATAGAAATTGACAGGATTAAAATCGACTGGTATAAATACGGATGTAACAAGACAATAAACATCAGATCCTCATCAGCTCCTGGTCAGATCCTAACCAGAACCTAGCCAGAGAACATGGCAAAGTTCCTGGACAGAATCTGGCTACAGAACTTCACTGGAGAACCTAGACAGAACATGGCAAAAGAACCTGGATAGAACCTGGCTAAAGAACCTGGTGACTGAACCTGGCTGGAGAACCTGGAGAACCTGGCTGGAGAACCTAGCAAGAGAACATGGCACCAGAACTTGGTTGGAGATCCTGACCAGAACTTGGTTGGAGTTCCTAACCAGAACTTCGCTGGAGATCCTGGAGGGAGAACCTCGCTATGCTGATGAACTGAAACCAGTTTCCATGTCATTCATTCTTCGCCGACTCCGTCCACACCTTTGGGGATCCCTGGACCCGTTGGGGTTGGACCCCAACAGTAAAGATTCAGTATCTCAGCATGAAGGTATACTAGTATATGTGGCAAGAATGGCTTTTGAGTAAGTGTTCCCTTATTATTGTAATCAAAACCTGGTGAGAAAAATAGTATTTGAAAAAAGCTAAATATTTAATAAGTGAAATTTTACAATTATGATTACTCTTCATCATATTCTCTCTTTTCAGGAAAAAACTTTGTAATATGAAATTCAATGGCATTCTTTCAGAAATGGATTATAGAACCACACATTCTTCTTTATACTACTAAATAAATGTAAAAGCATGAATGTTCACATACCTTATTCAACTTTTTTTCTGATGATGTCAATATGTTTTTAAAAGCTAACATTTCATTCAAGCATATTAATGAATAGATCCTTTATTTTTTTGATAGCTTTCAGCTACAAGAAAAGACAACTACGATTTTATAAAAATTTACTACTGTTCTAAATATTGTCTTACAACTGAATGAGGTAGATACTATCATGGTTCCTGTTCTATGGCCAAAGTTTCAAGGTTTAGAGAGATTACGTTTAGAGTTATATTATTAGAGCAGTAAAGCCAAGTTTTAAAATATGGTCAGTCTTCGCACACTCTCCCTCCAGGGAGCACACCTATGTTATTCCCTTCTTCCTCTCCCTGCTACCAGTATCCCCTAATCTCCAAGGGACCCCATGAAACTTGCAACCAGTGGAGCAATGGACAGCGGTAGCTCATCCCAGGCTAACACCTGAACCTGTCTCCAAGGCCCCCTTTTCTCTGACTTCCCAGTGAGCCAAAGCAGCCCAACCTAGGCTCTCCTGTTGCTTCTTCTATGCCCTTCCTTGTTTCACTGCCCTAAGTATGTTTTTGCTGTGGTCAATAAATTCTTGCTTGCTTTTCTAAAAAATAAAATAATAAAATATGGTCAGTCTTCCTCTAGCATCTAGAGTCTTAACCACTCCATCATGTAATAGCACCATCTAATCTATTTTCTTTCTAGGAAAGCAAACCTTGACTTGTATGGGACACATGATTTTACATTTCAGATAACTCATATATGCTAAATACTTACTGAATAATAATTTCTGAATTTTTATTTGCTTTTCTATATCCTATTCTTACTGTGAATCCCATGGTGCTAAGCACAAAGTTACAATAATACTTACTAATAGCTCATGTCTTCTTGATAACATTTCTCTTTTCCTCATCATAATCCACAGGGATTCCTTAAATATTTTTGTTTGTTAGGATTAGGTACTAATCCTAAAGGACTATTAGTTGGGGAAGCATGAGACTTGGTTGGAAAGTTTGTAAGGAGGACATTCTGAGAAAAGGAATGTCCTCCTTACAAACAGGGTGGGTAGAAGGCTGTCCACCCTGTTTATCGGAATTCTGACTTAGGGGAGTGCCAAAGGTGGTGCCTCTAATTATTCCTTGACGGTTCCAAACAAGTCTGTGCATGAGCAGACCCCCGGGTGTTTACTGGAATCCTTATGCTTAATCTTTGGGTGTCCTTGCTTAAAGGACACAACAAACATATGTGTCTTCCCAATATTACTTACCCTACTGATTGTACCTAAAAGATAAACTTGATCTCAAACTGCTGCTACAACAAAAGCCTAGCAAGGCAGGCAATCAAGGCTGTCTGGTTCCTTTAGCCAGGCAGTCTCTTAGCCCTCTCTTACACAGCAAACGTTGTGTTGGAGTAATCTATACATCCATCGCTCAGGGTCTGCTGATCAGCCCTGGCATATTAGATATTTGGAAGCAACATGAAGAACCAAAACAATGAGCAACAACTATTGGATGAAGGGAAGGACAGATAAGAACATTCACAGGTCATTTTGCAACTTTAATTCCTTGTCATTGCCAACAGGTACACTTGAGTTCTTTCCATAACAAATCATTTTTGCAAAATATTATGATATGTGCTTTTAAAATGTAAATAATTCACCCAGCTGGTGCAGTTGAGTGGTTGAGCATCGACCTATGAACTAGGAGGTCACAGTTCAAGTCCTGGTCAGGGCACATGCTCAAGTTGCCAGCTCAATCCCCGATAGGGGGAATGCAGGAGGCACCTGATCTATGATTCTCTCTCGTCATTGATGTTTCTATCTATCTCTCCCTCTCCCTTCCTCTCTGAAATCAATAAGATATATATATTTAAACTTTATATAAATCCATGTAAATAGTAGCCAAGAGAGCTGGTGTGGCTACACTAATATCAGATGAAATAAATCTATATATACAAAGAAATATGCAAATTGTCCGGGACACCATAGCATCACAATTGCTCAGGAGGAAGCTGCGCACGCAGGTGGGTGGGAGGGGACTGCGTGCGCAGTGAGGCAAGGCATGGATGGCTCAGGCCCGGAGAGAAGAGGGCCTGCCAGCCACCGTGGCTGCAGGGAGGCCCGAGAGAACAGGGCCTGCCAGCCGCAGCACGCCAGCAGTCCTGCCTCCGCGTGTGAGCTGCAGAGGAAACACCTTTTCTGACCGCGCATTGGCTAAGCTCCCTGTACGCCACTCACAGTGTTCTTGGTAACTTGGGTAATAAGAATTCAAGAAGGTGATCTAGAGTTTTTCCACCTCATTCCTGGAGGAAAAAATGAAGGTCCACTGCTGAAGGGGCTTAGAAATGTCAGATCCTACCCTAGCCAGTTTGGCTCAGTGGATAGAGCCTCGGCCCACAGACTGCAGGGTCCGGGTTCGATTCTGGTCAAAGGCATGTACCTCAGTTGCAGGCTCCTCCCTGGCCGGGGCCCAGGTCAGGGCTCATGCAGGAGGCAACCAATCGAAGTGTCCCTCTCACATTGATGTTTCTCTCTCTCTTTCCCTCTCTCTTCCACACTCTCTAAAAATCAATGGAAAAATATACTCAGGTGAGGATAAAAAAAGAAAGAAAGAAATGTCATATCCTATGAAAGAGACATCTTGAAAATGCCTAAAGAAAGTTTGTCATTT